GCAAACGCGCCTCAAGCAACTTCCCAGAGAAAAAAAATCAGTATCTACTAAAGTTAAACATCTTTAAATCTGCAGGGCCAAATTAACATGCACCCAAAATTTTTAGGAGACGCTGAGGCCCTTTCTCTGCTAAACACTAACCAATCCAAGTTCAGATTACAGCCAAACCATTTTCTTTCTTGTCTTTTATGGTCCCAATTTGGGCAACTCACAAACATTAAGGAATTCATCCTCATACACCCTAGCCCCATGCGGTCGGGAAGTAGCATTAGTTTAACTTTACAGAGGGAGAAACAGAAGCACAAGATTAATGGGACCTGCACAAGATCACACAGGGAATCACAGCCACAAAACCTTTCCACCAAGGTATAGTCAAAGACCTCATACGCCTTTACAGCATCTTCTGCTGGGGCAGGAGTGGCTAGGAGCTTCCCCCTCCCTCCTGTGTTCCTACCCCACTTCCTACAGCACGTTCTGTTAGGAGAGGCTGATTTGAGCAGTTGGGAGTTCTCACACACCCAGCAGCTAAAACATCATGACAAAGGCAAATTCTAAGAGAACTGCAGAAGTTAGAGATGGAAAAGCCTTTTCACAGGTGACATTTAGTCCATCCTTTCACAGTCCAATGCAATATTTCTCACTCATGTTTTTCTAATACTTTGTCTACTTTAGTTTCAAACATGTCCAAATATAATGATCAGTTGAAAGGTGGTGAGACATCTAGTGGGGACTGACAGGAATGCCATTAGGTCTGCTCTGATTAACGTCTTCATGAATCACAGACTCACAGAATCAGGGTTAACAAGACCACAAGGGTCATCTAGTCTAAGCCCCGCCAAGATGCAGGATTTGTAGCATCTAAACCATCCAAGACAGTTGGCTGTCCAGCCTCCTTTTGAAAACCTCCAGGCAGTCCATTCTGTTGTCCCACTGTTCTTACAGTTAGGAAGTTCTTCCTGGTTTCAGAGTAGCAGCCGTGTTAGTCTGATATCCGTAAAAAGAAAAGGAGTACTTGTGGCACCTTAGAGACTAACAAATTTATTAGAGCATAAGCTTTCGTGAGCTACAGCTCACTTAATCGGATGCCACTTCATCGGAAGTTTTTCCTGAGATTAAATCTAACTCTGCTGTGCTGTAGTTTGAACCCACTGCCTCTTGTCCTCCCCTCTGTAGCCAGAGAGAACAACTTTTCTCCATCTTTTATTGAAGACTGCTATTGTGTTCCCCCTTAATCTCCTCTTTTCTAAACTAAACATAACCAGTTTCTTCAGCCTTTACTCATATGGCTTGCATTCCATCCCTTTGATCATCTTTGTCGCTCACCTCTGGATCTTTTCCAATTTCTTGACATCCTTTCTGTACATTGGTGACCAAAATTGGCCACAGTACTCCAGCTGAGGTTTAACCAGAGCCAAGTAGAGCAGTACTATCCCCTCCCGTGACTTGCACGCTATGCCTCTGTTAACACAACCTAAAATTGTATTTCCTTTTTTGCAATAGCATCACATTGCTGACTCATTTTGAGGTTGTGATCCACCAGAACTTCCAGATCCTTTTCAGCAGCGCTGCTGCCAAGTCAGTTATCCCCCATTCTGAATTTATGCATTTGGTTTTTCTTTCCTATGTGTAGCACCATACATTTGTCTTTGTTGTCTAAAGCCCTGTTCTCCTATTATAAAGACCCCTCTGAATTTTAGCTCTCTCCTCCAGAAGTGTTGGCAACCCCTCCCCCAGCTTTGTGTCATCTGCAAACTGGATCAGTATGCTCTCTATTCCTACATCCAGGTCATTAATAAAGATGTTAAACAAAACAGATCCCAAAACAGATCCCTGTGGAACCCCACTTGAGACCTCCCTTCAGTCTGACAGCATTCCATTAGTATCCTCTGTTTGCAGTTGCTTAACCAATTATGTATCCACTTCGTGGTAGTTGTGTCGAGCCTGCATATCTCCAGCTTATCTATCAGAATGTCACGTGGGACTGTGTCAAAACCCTTGCTGAAGTCCAGGTATATTATTCATTGCTCTCGTAGCTTCCCAGGTATGAGAGTCAGGCTCACTGGTCTATAATTCCCAGCTCCTTCTTTTTAAAGATGGGCACTACATTGTCTTGGAAGACTGGAGAGGGCTCTCTCCTGTTATCCATGAGTTTGTATATATTATTGCCAGTGGCTCCGAGATTTCTTTAGCTAATTCCTTCAGTACCCTCGGATGAATAGCATCTGGCCCTGCTGATTTGAATTAATTCAAACTGGTCAGATCTCTCATGTATTATTTACTTATCCCGATATGGATCCTTCCCCCTTTATTGTCTATGGTAATTTTGCTAGTGATCTGGTCAAATGTTATTTTTTGTGAGAAAACTGAAGCAAAGTAGCCATTGAGCAGCTCTGCCTTCCTATCATCTTCCATTACCAGTTCATCTTCTCCATTGAGCAGCAGACCCACACAATCCCTGATCTTTCTTTTTTGTCTGACATATCTGAAGAACCTCTTTTTGTTGTCTCTAACGTTCCTTGCCAGCTGTAACTCATTCTTTCCTTGGCTTTCCCGATTTTGTCCCTAAATCCTCGTGCTATTCCTATGTTTACCTCCTTGGTGACATGCCCCTCCTTCCATTTCCTGGATGTATCCCTTTTGGTTTTTATTAGGGCTGTCAATTAATTGCAGTTTAACTCACGTGATTAACTCAAAAAAAATAATCACAGTTTTAATTGCAGTATTAAACAATATAATACCAATTGAAATGTATTAAATATTTTGGATGTTTTTCTACATTTTCATATATATTGTATTCTGTGTTGTAATTGAAATCAAATTGCATGTTATTTTTTATAACAAATATTTACACTTTAAAAATTATAAAGAAAAGAAATAGGATTTTTTCAATTCATCTCATACAAATACGATAGTGGAATCTCTTTGTCGTGAAAGTGCAACTTACAAATGTAGATTTTTTTTTTTGTTACATAACTGCACTCAAAAACAAAACAATGTAAAACTTTAGAGTCCTCTCAGTCCTACTTCCTGTTCAGCCAATCATTAAGACAAACAAGTTTTTTTTTTTCATTTATAGGAGATAATGCTGCCCTCTTCTTATTTACAATGTCACCAGAAAGTGAGAACAGGCATTTCCATGGCACTTTTGTACCTGGCATTGCAAGGTATTTACATGCCAAATATGCTAAACAATGTATGCCCCTTCATGCTTAGGCCACCATTCCAGAGGACATGCTTCCATGCTGATGACGCTCATTAAAAAAATAATGCATTAATTAAATTTGTAACTGAACTCCTTGGGGGAGAATTGTATGTCCCCAGCTCTGTTTTACCTGCATTCTGCCATATATTTCATGTTTTAGCAGTCTTGGATGATGACCCAGCACATGTTGTTCGTTTTAAGAACACTTTCACTGCAGATTTGACAAAATGCAAAGAAGGTACCAACTACAGAACCCGAACTACCAAAAAAGAAAATCAACCTTCTGCTGGTGCCATCTGATCCAGATAATGAAAATGAAAGTGCATCGGTCCACACTGCTTTGGATTGTTATTGAGCAGAACCTGTCATCAGCATGGATGCACGTCCCCAGGAATGGTGGCTGAAGCATGAAAGGACTTATGAATCTTTAGCGCATTTGGCACATATCTTGTGAAGCCGGCTAAAACAGTGCCATGAGAACACCTGTTCTCACTTTCAGGTGACATTGTAAACAAGAAGCGGGCAGCATTATCTCCGGCAAATGTAAACAAATTTGTTTGTCTGAGCAGTTGACTGAACAAGAAGTAGGACTGAGTGCACTTGCAGGCTCTAAAATTTTACATTGTTTTATTTTTGACTGCAGGTTTTTTGCACATAATTCTACATTTGTAAGTTCAACTTTCATGATAAAGAGATTACACCACAGTACTGGTATTAGGTGAATTGAAAAATACTGTTTCTTTTGGTATTTTTACAGTGCAAATACTTGTAACTAAAAATAAATATAAAGTGAGCACTGTACACTTTGTATTCTCTGTTGTAATTGAAATCAATATATTTGAAAATGTAGAAAACAGCCAAAAGTATTTAAATAAATTGTATTATATTATTAACAGTGCGATTAATCGCACGATTAATTTTTTTAATCACTTGACAGCCTTACTTTTTATATAGCTAAAAATCTCGTTGTGCAGCCACACTGACCTTCTGTGGCTCTTCTTATCTTTCCTCTGCATCAGAATAGTTTGATGTTGAGTCTCCAGGATTACATCTTTTAGGAAGTGCCAGCCCCCTTCAACTCATTTTCTTCCTAACTGGTCTTTCCATGGGACCTTGCCTACTATTTCTCCGACTCGGTTGAAATCCGCTTTTCTGAAGTCCGGTGTCCTAGTTTTGCTGTTCTCATGTTCTCCTTTCCATAGGATCTTGAATTTTATCTGATCATGATCACTTCCTCCCAAGTTCCTGACTACCTTCACATTCTCAACTAATTCATTCTTGTTGGTCTAAACCAGATCCAAAATGGATGACCCTCTAGTTGTTTCCTCAACTTTTGTCCCCTACACATGCTAAGAATTTGCAGGACATATGTTTTACTGTAATAGTCTTTGAACAGATATCATGGAAGTTAAAATCTCCCATTAACACTAGCTCATGTCTGTTGGCTAATCTTGTTACCTGCTTGTAGACTGACACATCCAGTTCCTCTTCCTGATTTGGTAATCTAAAATAGACCCCCCCCATAACATCACTACTGTCGATCTATTATCAACTCAAGGTAATTCTATATTATACCTCTTTCTAACCAAGATTAATTGATCACTGAATTAAAAATTAGTGATTGTCAAGGTGAAAGTGATCACAAGTGTACTGAGTGTCCCCACAGGGTTTTACACTGGGTTAACTAAATCAGATTAAAAATCACACCTTTAGTTAAACCAGTGCACCTTTACAGAAAGACAAGGCCTGTTACCCCTTATGATCAAGCACTCCCAGTACAACTCTATATTGCACCTACCTATATGCGGGCTGTTTATTAGGGCTGGCTCATTCTGCTTATTGTTAGATTTCCTTGGGAGCTTGGAGCTGCTCTCTTGCTTAGCTGTGCCTTTCCTCTCAGCTTGCTGGCCTAACGCTGGGAAAGGGGGGGGAGAAAAAAACCACTTTAGCTATTTTATTTACCAGAGGCTACCTGATGCCTAAAGACAAGCTCCTAAATCTGTAAAACTTCCAAAAGTGCTGGGCGACCACAAATCCCATTGAAGTTTTCAGTCAGGTCAGGACACAGAACATCATTAGTGATGTTGATGAATGATCTCTTGAAGTTGATGGAGGGCAGACATTCATTCTCATACTCCTGGGCCTCTCTTCAGCAAACAACACTGTCAGTCATGAGCTACTGCTATTCCGCCTGAGGGAGATGGTAGGAATCCAGGGAAATATGCTAAAATGGTTTGAATCCTCCCTGGCAGGATGCACCCAAAGGACAGTAGTGGGAAACTGCACCAATACTCTCAGACCTGTATTCCCTCTAAGGTGCGCACTTGGGTGGCTGCACAAGAGGGCAGCAAGGGCCATGCACCTAATTAGTGCAGCCGCGCAGGTTTGGCTCCACTAATTATGTGCCTGGACCCTGGAGAGGACACACATGTAAGCTGGTGGTGTTGGGGGGAGGAATAGGGATAGTCGGGGGCAGTGGGCTGAGGGGTTGGTGGGAACTTGGGGCATGAAGGACTGCAGCAGGTAGTGAGCTCAGCCGCTCCCCTCCCCCAGCTGGGGAGAAACATGCTTCCTTTCTCCCAGCTCCAGCTGGGTTGCCCTGGCTGGGAAGATGCCTCTGGGAGCCAACAGAGAACAAAGTAGTTAAGCTCACAGTGGCTGGCAGTTGTATTCTAAACAAGCTGGTGTCTCTGTTGCTCGAATGTTTAGCCTCAAGTACAGTGACAGTAATCAAGTCTGAAGGTGACAAACACATAGAATCATAGAATCATAGAATATCAGGGTTGGAAGGGACCCCAGAAGGTCATCTAGTCCAACCCCCTGCTCGAAGCAGGACCAATTCCCAGTTAAATCATCCCAGCCAGGGCTTTGTCAAGCCTGACCTTAAAAACCTCTAAGGAAGGAGATTCTACCACCTCCCTAGGTAACGCATTCCAGTGTTTCACCACCCTCTTAGTGAAAAAGTTTTTCCTAATATCCAATCTAAAACTCCCTCACTGCAACTTGAGACCATTACTCCTCGTTCTGTCATCTGCTACCATTGAGAACAGTCTAGAGCCATCCTCTTTGGAACCCCCTTTCAGGTAGTTGAAAGCAGCTATCAAATCCCCCCTCATTCTTCTCTTCAGCGAAGGGCAACAAAAATGATTAGGGGTCTGGAACACATGACTTATGAGGAGAGGTCCAATTTGTCTTGGTCCTTCTGTATCCTATCCCTCCCCTCCAGCGTATCTACCACTCCTCCCAGTTTAGTATCATCCGCAAATTTGCTGAGAGTGCAATCCACACCATCCTCCAGATCATTTATGAAGATATTGAACAAAACCGGCCCCAGGACCGACCCTTGGGGCACTCCACTTGATACCGGCTGCCAACTAGACATGGAGCCATTGATCACTACCCATTAAGCCCGACAATCTAGCCAGCTTTCTACCCACCTTATAGTGCATTCATCCAGCCCATACTTCCTTAACTTGCTGACAAGAATACTGTGGGAGACCGTGTCAAAAGCTTTGCTAAAGTCAAGAAACAATACATCCACTGCTTTCCCTTCATCCACAGAACCAGTAATCTCATCATAAAAGGCGATTAGATTAGTCAGGCATGACCTTCCCTTGGTGAATCCATGCTGGCTGTTCCTGATCACTTTCCTCTCATGCAAGTGCTTCAGGATTGATTCTTTGAGGACCTGCTCCATGATTTTTCCAGGGACTGAGGTGAGGCTGACTGGCCTGTAGTTCCCAGGATCCTCCTTCTTCCCTTTTTTAAAGATTGGCACTACATTAGCCTTTTTCCAGTCATCCGGGACTTCCCTGGTTCGCCACGAGTTTTCAAAGATAATGGCCAATGGCTCTGCAATCACAGCCGCCAATTCCTTCAGCACTCTCGGATGCAACTCGTCTGGCCCCATGGACTTGTGCACGTCCAGCTTTTCTAAATAGTCCCTAACCACCTCTGTCTCCACAGAGGGCTGGCCATCTCTTCCCCATTTTGTGATGCCCAGCGCAGCATGGATTATTGAGGCTAGATCTTCAAGGAAGAAGCGGTAGAGGATTTTAGCAGGTGACGGTGGAAGAAGGTGGTGTTGTATTTGTGTGATTCTGGTTTTTTGTTTTTTTGCCACAGACCACTTTAAGGTTAGGGGGGTCCCTTCTAGCCACTGATACTACCTGGTCATTTAGGGGATGGTGGGTGTCTTCCAGAGCTAATGGGAGTACTTGATTTTCACTGGTCTTCACCAGTGTCCAGGGGTGTTCACCAGTGAACAGCACAGCTTTCAATGTTTCCAGGGGCTTCCAGCACTTTATTGTGCATGAGTTAGGGCCAAACTCTTGTCTGGCCCTCTCCCCAAATTCTAAAAAGTAATGGAAATCACTTGTCTGGACTGCAGACAAGTGATTTTGTATGGTGAAGACCTTATTAGCAAGCTCTGAAGCCATGTTTTAATGTGCTCTATTTACTTAAGGGACTTGTAAAAACTTAATGAGCCTACTCTTGAGTTTTTGAGTTGGTGACACACACAATATAAAACCAGGAGAACTTTAACTTTGCCTGTTTCTATAGAGCTCTGTTGCACTTGCACAGCATGGGTCTAAACACTCATTTAATATACCCATAACCAACCACTTGATGTTTTACTTCCCTTTGTATTTTCAGTGTTGTCACTTCATAGAATATCAGGGTTGGAAGGGACCTCAGGAGGTCATCTAGTCCAACCCTCTGCTCAAAGCAGGACCAATCCCCAACTAAATCATTCCAGCCAGGGCTTTATCAAGCCTGACCTTAAAAAACCTCAAAGGAAGGAGATTCCACCACCTCCCTAGGTAATGCATTCCAGTGCTTCACCACCCTCCTAGTGAAAAAGTTTTTCCTAATATCCAACCTAAACCTCCCCCACCGCAACTTGAGACCATTACTCCTTGTTCTGTCTGTTTGTTCACTTGTTTGTGGTTTTGTTTGCTGTCTGAGTTGCTTTATTAGTTATTTTTACTGTTCTATGTGTGTGAAGTATTAATCAACTTAAGAGTTGACATCCCATAGAAATTGTATGAGCCTGAGTGAATGCCTTTTACTCTCCTTTCCAATATCAGAAAATATTGTATTAATATTTGTGATGAGAGCATGACTGTTTGTTTCTAGTTGACTCATAGATTTGTTTAGCATCTTAAAGCTGAGCTGTGTGCAGATAATATGCATGCAAGAGGGATAGTTTTGTGAACTGCAAAAGTCCATAGCATGCTAGTGTTTTGACAGCTGCTTCATTTTTCGAGAGCAGCTTTCTCTGAAGATTTAGTAGTCTATGGTAGGATTAGGTTACTGAATTGGCCCTCTGGTGCATATTTTTTATGCTTTCATTTAATGGCCATGACTTTGTTTTATTTATATAGCTGTTTTCAGTATGCCACATTTTGGTGTGTTTACTAACTTGAGTTGTTAGAAAGGATTATAAAATACATGTACTCCAAGGGCAGTGTTAATTTTCTTTTTGATTTCATATTAAATAAACATCTTAAGCAGTGCACCTTGTTTTAATATTCTCTCTTTTTCTTCCATAACTCTGAACTTTTAAAAAATATATATCTAGGGTTTTTTTTTTTTGTGTACTGGTGGCGCACATCCTCTCTATTGGTGCTGCACGTAACAAAATTCATTCCGCACATGGATGGAAAAAATTAGAGGGAACATTGTCTCAGATCCCTCACTTGTGAAGTCCCAAAATTATCAATTCTCTCTTAGGTCCTATTCAACATCTGCATACTGCTACTGGGAAAACTGGCGAGATGACATTAACTCAAGTGCCCACAATATGTAGATAACAGACACGTCTACCAAGCTTCACCACATACAACAATATCACTGGCACTAAGCTGGCCCACTGCTTGGACAAGAGCAGCTGGAAGAAGCTGAACCCAGGCAAGACAGAAATTATGCTGACTGGCAGAGAAAAGCACTTTGAAGAGCGTGCAATCAATGTGCAGTATCCACTGGCTGAAGATACATAACCACAGCTGGTCAATTCAGACCACAGTTTAGGAGTGCTCCTGAATTCCTTTCTGACACTAAGCTCTGATATACAGCAGTGTATATATTGCATGGTATTCCTTAAAATATGCCATAATGAATGACAGTGGGAAACAGTCATCTGGACCTGTGATTTGTCACGGAGGGCCCCAAAAACATATAAACCTCTGGTTTCCTGGGGTGTTGAGGTTATGAGGTTCCACAATTGAGGTGTGGTGTTACCATGTGTAACCATAATGGTACCTCCATAGAGGACAATTCTTAAACTTGCACTATTGTACATACCAGACTGGGCATAAAGTCTCCCCTGGAATGCTGGAAATATGACAATTTAACTGCTTTGCAGAATATAACCCTACAGGTAATATGGATGCCAAGCTGCAAGGATTCTGATTTAAGCTGGCCGCAGCCTGGAGCTAGAAATACTTCCTTATGGGAGGGCGTGTGGAAACCACTGTGGGAGCGGGTGCAACCAGAGCTCGTCAATGTGTCCTTTCAGTACATTACATGGATGGGCGGTACACCCCAAAGAATGGTGGGTGGATTGGGTACACCCCAACTGCAGCACATACATAGAAGGGTTAAAGCAACAATTTAATCAGTGGGTGAGGGAATACACATGGAATTGCCGCTGCAAAGGGATCTATGGGCAGCAGGAACCACAGGGTTGGGTGTATAGAATCTGGGGGGAAAGGTGTGTATAGGAATGCAAAAGGTGTGTATAGGAATGCTCAACTGGGGGCTAGCACCTGGGTAATAGTTGCAGTAGTACCTTGGAATGAGATGGCAACTAAGGTTGTCCACATGAGCCCTATGGAAATAATAAGAAAGGGAGGACCACTGTGGGATAGATAGGGAGAATAAAATGGTGTAAAATTTAAATAATTAGTTAAA